GGTTACCTCTCCGAACTTTCTCGCTTCTTCACTGCAAGGAGCCTAGCCCTATCCCCTGCGAAATCCTCGGCAACCCTTTTCACCACCTGGACGAAGGAGGTCAGACTGCCACTGGATATTCACGTCGATGACGTAACAACACCGACGGTGAATAACCCGAAAATCCTCGGAGTTACCTTCGACAGTCTGCTCCCCTTCTCGGCGCATACTACCGCAATTGTCAACAAAGTACAGATCCGCAACAATGTCCTCNTATTCACGTCGATGACGTAACAATACCGACGGTGAATAACCCGAAAATCCTCGGAGTTACCTTCGACAGTCTGCTCCCCTTCTCGGCGCATACTACCGCAATTGTCAACAAAGTACAGATCCGCAACAATGTCCTCAAGTCGCTGGCTGGCAGCACTTGGGGCAAAGATAAAGAAACGTTGTTGGCAACATACAAGGCAATTGGCCGGACGGTTCTGAACTACGCAGCGCCCGTATGGTCGCCGGGACTAGCACGACGCAGTGGATGAAGCTGCAGACCTGCCAAAACACGGTATTACGAACTGCGACAGGATGCCTCTTGATGACGCCTCAACACCCCCTTCACGACGAGGCCCAGATGCTCCCAGTAAAGGAGCATAACATAATGCTCTGAAAGCAGTTCCTCGCTGGGAGCCACAGACGTGGCCATCCCAGCGGGCAACTGCTCGCGGAAGAGCCCTCGCCACGGCACGTCAGGAGGCATCTTTACGAACTGACAGACGAAGTCAAGAGGTATATTAAACAACCTCTGGACCCGTCAACCTACCGACAGGCCCTCAACGGCATTCACAGGGAATCAGTCTCAAGTTATGTAGACTCCCGCCCTGCGAATGCCGTTCTAGGCACACAACCACCGGACGTGGACGGGACAGAACTTTGTCTGCCTCGGGAGACCCGCACTATAATAGCCCAACTTCGCTCTGGCTATTGCAGGTGGCTCAACAGCTACCTGAGCAGAATCAACGAGGATTTGCCCAACCAATGCCCGGCATGTGGAGAGTCGCCACATGACTCCCGGCAACTCTTCACATGCCCTGCGAATCCCACTCAGCTAACGCCCCTGTCCCTATGGACAGCCCCTCTGGAAGTAGCACACTTCCTGGGCCTCCCCCTAGCTGAAATAGACGACAACGTTGATGGATGAACCGCCCCGAACGGGGCTTAGTAGCCGCTACAACAACAACAATCAAAATAACCTAACTTTTGAAAGGGAGTGTGAGACAACGCTGAAAATTTAAATGCTACAGCAAGAACTTCTCAATGTGTTTGGTGTTTTTCAACTTTTCAAATGTTTCCAAATGTTTTGCGTCAATTAAATCTTAACCACATGTAACTGCCACCAGTAATACAAGTGACTGTCTCTTTGGGTTTGTAAGTATCTTCATCTGTTGTTTTTTCATATATTTAATTTAACCCTTCCGTTAAATTAAGAAAAACTTACACTTAATACACTAAGGTCACGAAATGACCTATAGATATTTTAATAGGTCAGGTGAGACTTCGTTAAAATTGAATTTAGTTATTATTTCCAACGAAAAGAAATTAATGTGCTCAGATAGCGCGTTTATAAGCTGAATTCTGAATTTCCTCAAATAGGGCTTTCTTGAAGAGTTTTCTGAGATAGGGTGTTTTCGAACTTGCTGCCGAAATAGGTCGATCTTCCACTCAGGTGTCGATGTAGTTTAAGATCAAATATTCGGACATAAGATTTTTGATTTAATTTTCTTTGTTACTTACACATTATTTACTTTTCTTTATTATTGACCATGTAAAGGTACTATTGGAAAACAGATGGTAGATACACTGGTTGAGTCAGCAGGCAATGTTGAATTGATTTTAAAATACTTCGATATGTTTTTGAAACTGAAGGATTTGATTGAGTCTCCAAGCTTCGCGGAAATCGACCTAAAAAATGAAGGTTGGGTAACTCCAAAGGACTTCCGAGATAAAATGGAGCAGTCGAAGAATTACACACCGTAAGTTAATATGATCTGAATATTATGATCAGGACCGAAAAAAATAAGCAAGAAAATATCCATTTTAAACGATTAGATAAGCACTGAAACATTGGTAAATATGCTTGCAAATATGCTCGCGAAACAACAAAATTTAAGTATAGTATAATGTTCTGTTTTTTTCTCGGTATGTTTCAAGTATTGAAAAATTACAAGGGACAATCAAGTGTTGCTTGATATTCTCAAATAATAGAGATCTCCTCTGGCCGTTTTATTTTTTTTTGTAATATTCGTTATTCTCCATTTGAGGTAAATTGTTTTTAATCTCTTTAATAACACCTATGTCTTGCCGTAAAGACAAACCATTGGTTTTAAATTTTTGTATGCAAGCAGAAATGCTATTGAAGTTACGGGTTAATAAAAACCAAATCTGTTTTTGTATTATTATTTGTAAGCATTCCTTTGGTTCCACGAACAAAAAAAAACGTGCAGAAATGGTCAAGAAAAATTTATTGGGCCAAATTTTCTTGAGCAGTACGAAATTTCTAAGAAATTTGCTACGCTTTCTACTATGGTTTGCTAATGTTTGTTTTTGAAGAGTATAACCCCCCTATTATGGATTTCCATATGATAGACGATAAACGCTTACAAGCGTATCGCATAAAATCAATTTTCGTATTATCGCCCGACAGACGTATTATTGTGAAAGGCAGTGGTTTTTGTTAACTTTTTATTGTGAACCATCACAAATCAGCCACGCTAATTATCGGATTTCATACTACAAAAATCGATTCATAATAGGAATTAACCGAATACAAGCGTTAATTATGCATCGTATGATTTCATAATAGGGGGTAAGGAACCCTTGTTTTAACAGAAAAAATGAGACAGCAGGTTGTAAAATATCAGGGGCTATTTCATAAAGTGACAGTAATAATTTTGTAACGACAGGCATTTTCCGTATTGCCAGCGACAATTCGACAGCTTGGTGGCTGTTTTGTTTCATAAAACATTTTATTTTATTATATTATATGTATATTGTTTATAAATGAACTATATTTTAATAAATCATATGTTTTAGGTTATATTTTTTTGAGAAAAATACACCGTAGTAATTTTAAAATTTCAAAATTACATTTCTCGACTGAAAAATAAGATATTCGAGCCATTATTGCCATTAAGCCACAATCACCCCATGACCATAAAAACTTGGTCAAATTTAGTTTTATTCGAAAAAAACATGCAAAATCCAACGGATGTATTAAAAAAAAAAAAACATTTTTTGTATTTTTTATTATACTAATATCATGATACAAAAAGAAGGTAGTTTCATTTAAAAAAGTTTGAAAAAAAATAAGTTTTTAAAGTTTCATAAATTGTGCAAAATTGTCAGCTACATTGCCACATTTATAGCAATCAGACAATACATCAGAGGATTTAATGTTGTGCGTGGGAAATATTCGGTTATTTGTACAAAAATGTTTTGGTTGGGAGCGGAGGAAGAAGCGGTGTGTCACCTAAAACTACACTCATTAAAAGGAGCATAGCATACAATTTAAGAAAAGCCATCTTTCTCCTCCCTGTCCCTTCTACAAGCACTCGGGGCCATTTCAAAATGGGGTGAAACTACCATTTTTGCAAAGAAAAATTAAACTCGTGTTAGACCATCAGCAGTATTTTTGCGCAAAACTCCTTTCCGCGTTTGTGGCCTTCGGCCGCGCTAGAAATAATAACCGCAGCAGTCCAACTCCGGTTATGTCATCCACAGTATTTTTGCGCAAAATCCACCTCCAAATTTACAAAAAATGTGCATATTTCAAAATGAAATCTTTATTTTAAATTTAAGCTCAATCCTTTGGCTAGACGTATATGTTAAAATTTTTTGATTCGGGTCACGCGTTTGGACACGATAACCCAAAAGCATTGCACAAATTACTGAACCGTACCCGAACTGTCTTATGCCGAAAAATGCAACCTTCTCTTTGCCCTCTACGCGCAAACACTATAAAGAGGGCGATCAGAAGGCAAAATTTTTTGTAGAAACGAAATATCCATTACTTATGCATTTTTCTATAAAAAGATTTTATAAAATGAAACTGCAGTAGTTTTCATCTTACGTAAATAATTCTTGCCACAAATACATAGTTTCGTGATTATATTTTTTAGCATCGCCTTATTATTCCGAGAACCCAAAAATTGGTACTGTTACAAGTTGCAGCGCATCATTTTAACTCGAGCGATTAACCCTCTTCCACGGATAACGGTACATCGTTTAGTTTTAGAAATATTTTGTGTCAGCAATTTGTCATCAAACTGCATTACATCGTATTACGTATTCTATCCTCGGAAAAGCAAAAACTTTATTTTCGAACCTTTGCACAGGGGTACCGAATTCTTGCAGTTTGGAAATATTTTCATCCAACTTCACTGACTACAAATTTTTTTTACTTATTGAAGAAACGGAAATTTTGCTGCTAGTGAATCTGGTAGCATGATTTTAGTTAAATGTCATAAACTTGTTAAAAGTCAAGTGCTCGGCAACAACAACGAATGTCAATAAATGAAACTACCTTCTATTTTTGTATCATGTATAATACTAAATTTTGAGACGAGAAACTCGACTCCACTCTTTAAAAAACGAAAAAAAAGTTCCACCCCTCAATTTGAAAAATGCATTATATATTGCATTTATCATGATTTTCATGCACCATTTTATATACCTAATTTCACAGTTGCCTACAAGCTTATATGAGACAGAAAAAATTCGCCGGCAATTCTGGCTGTGAAATTTTATTTAAAAAATCGGCAATTGTCGCGCCCGTCACTTTTATGAAATATGCCGCAGATATCAACACACCTTGGATACTACTACTCACACACACGAAATAATAGCAAATTATTTCTTGACCATTTTCCTAAAAGGTCCGTACTTGGCTTTAGGCATTGAAATAAGCATGATCGTTAAAATTAAGCTTGGAAACCCGGAATAAGAAAAATAAGTATGTAATTCCAAGCGAAAGCTTAAACTTTTCGGCCCTGATTATGATACATATGTATGTAAATTAGGGCGGGTTAGTTTGCTCTTAAAAAATATAACGGACTTTTTTTCGGCGACTGAAGTATTCTACTGGCGATTCTAAAGAAAACAGTCCATGGAAGCATAGCTCAAAAATAAATTTCGAGCCTTCTTATTTCTAATTTTATTTATTGATTACTAGCCAATTTCTTTTTTATATTTCCAAAAATTTTTTTTTGGAAGAAAATTTATTTATGTCGATTTTAGGTCCCTGAAGTAATCACTACAGCATTCACCGATTGGTTTGGCACATATGCCATAACTTAGTGCTTGTTTAGTGCCAATTTATGCTGCTAAAAAAGTTCTGTGCTTTGCAAATTTTGGTAAAAATATGTATTAGCCATTCCTTCAGCTGAAGTAAGCACTACAATATCAATATCTCTGGAAGAGCACACACTTCTACTTTACGGCATAATTTAGTGCTTATTTAGTGTCAATTTATGCCGCAAAAAGAATTTTTTTGCTCAGTAAATTTTGGTAAAACCATGTAGTAGCCATCTCTTCAGCCGAAGTGAGCACTCACTATAAATATCTCTGGAACCAAAAGCGCATACACTTCTACCTTACGGCATAGTTTAGTGCTTATTTAGTGCCAATTTATGCCGCAAAAAAAATTATCTCTGTAAATTTTGGTAAAAACCTGTAGTAGCCATCTCTTCAGCTGAAGTATGCACTTCACTATCAATATCTCTGGAATCAAAAAGCGCATACACTTCTACCTTGCAGCATAACTTAGTGCTTATTTAGTGCCAAATTATGCCGCTAAATTTTTTTTTGCTCTGTAAATTTTGGTAAAAACATCTAGTAGCGATCTCTTCAGCTGAAGTAAGCACTATGCTATCAATATCTGTGGAACCAAAAAGCGCATACACTCCTACTTTACGGCATAATTTAGTGCTTATTTAGTGCCATTTTACATGCCATATGATGTACCCGATCCCTCGGCGACATCCTACAGAAAACTCACCATTTGGGCAGAGCAACGAGTGATAAGTATATTGGCTGGCTGTGACGCTAATGCACACCACACGGCTTGGAACAGCTCCAACATCAACGATGGAGGTGAGTCACTTTTAAGTTACATATTATCCACAAAACTGACCATTTTGTAAAAAGGGTAATCACCACACTTTCTACAATACAATAAGGGAAGAGGTTATAGATATAACTCTCGTAACTAACTCGAACAATTTAGTGCTTATTTAGTGCCAATTTATACCGCAAACAAAATTTTTTTTCTCTGTAAATTTCGGTAAAACATGTAGTAGCCATCTCTTCAGCTGAAGTAAGCACCTATCAATATCTCTGGAACCAAAAAGCGCATACACTTCTACCTTACGGCATAATTTTGAGCTTATTTAGTGCCAATTTATGTCGCTAAAAATATTTTTTTTCTCTGTAAATTTTGGTAAAAACATGTAGTAGCTATCTCTTCAGCTGAAGCTATCAATAGCTGTGGAACCAAAAAGCGCATGGCTAGCCCTAGCAGGGTGTCCAGATTCTTTAAATAAAAAAGCGTAATTTCTTTAAAAAAAATCGCCCAAAAACGCCTAACTTTTTGGTATATAAAATTCATGAAATTGGCTTAACATCTTGTTATAGAATAGTTTCAAAACCCGAAAAATAATACAATACCTTCAGGGTAGATAATAATAAATAACACAAATACCTTATAGTAAACCATTTTACGTACACATTTAAAACATATTTGTCTTAATACATTGGACTNTATAGAATAGTTTCAAAACCCGAAAAATAATACAATACCTTCAGGGTAGATAATAATAAATAACACAAATACCTTATAGTAAACCATTTTACGTACACATTTAAAACATATTTGTCTTAATACAAATTTAGTAATACTACGTTTTAATTTTTCTCTCTAACGCCAGGATTATTTTTAAAAGGGACTTTGAAACTTCAAATTCAAATAATTAAAAAA